ACTAAAGAATAATGACCAAAGGTCCTACATTCGAAAATAAAAACATATGGTCCTATTTTAGAAAAGTCATTATGTTTTAGTCCTATTTAGGTAAATTACTCGTGGTTAAAGTGATATAAAGAATGTAATTTTAACCAAATTTCTTGGTTGGTAAAACAAGAAAAGAAGAGCCTAAAACATAGAGTCCAGATTGGAGTAGTATAAAGGCTAATCTTGGAGTTCGGGTAACTGAAATTAACAATTGAATGGAACAATATCTAATTGCGGATTTACAACTGTACAAGAGAGATTTTCATTGAAAATAAATAATTAAAATGAGTACTTTTAATAAAGGGCTTGTCTCGCCTCATTAACTTTTAAAAGTATACCATTAGTCTTAAAAAAATTCTTTTTATTCAAGTTTGGTTAAAGACATGGTTAAACTAAGAGAAACTTATATGGTTTCAACCATGCATCATTTTAAAAAATATTGGACTAATGATATTCTTTTGAAAGTTTATGGTGAAAGCACACACTTTATAAAAAAATAAAAAATTTGGCTCCATATAAGACTAAAAGATAACATGTTTCACTGAATAGGACTAAATATATTTTATTTCCTTTATGTGTATCCTCATTATCAAGAAATATTGGATAATGACTAATTATACGAACGACTCTACGAATGTGGTCATCATTAGCAACAAGTATTGAATAATGATTGATTATTTCATTGACTATTCAAATCTTTTTTTAATAATGTCTTATTCTACTTGAATTGTATAATTGGTCATTTTTCTCAAAGGCAGTGTATTTTGGAACTTTTCATTACCAAACGAGTATATAGGACTGATCATATTTAGAGAAAAATGATATATTTAAGTCCTATTTACGTAAATTGCAGAAAAAAATATAGGGCATACTGATGCACTTTTGAAAATTTTGGACGAAAAGATGCACTAAAAACTCTATTGAAAAATAAACTAAAACAAAATAAAGAGAGTGATTTGGTCCATTTGTTCTTCATTTCATTCACATTCGAGTAGACACTTTAATTATTTGCTTGTTTGCTGAGCTTGACCAAAGGAAGGCTAATCAAATCATCGAAGAGGCATTATAAATCTCCATAAATTCATAAGTTAGACTTCCATTCTTTTGTCCAAAAAAGAAGAATCGAAAAAAATCAGCTAGAGAGAGAAGATATTTTTAACATTCTTTAACTACTCCTCCAAAGAATAATGTGTCAATGGATTCCCCTTGGGTCTTTGCTTGTTACCTGCATATTTGATATTATAGCAGGATTAATATCCTTGAAAGAGGCAAATAGAGCTCAACATAAGGTAAATAATATTATAATATTAATAATTATGACTTCATTATTCTTCATTTTGGTCCAAGTCTAGATGATGATAAAATATGGTATCATTTTAAAAATTAATAAAATTGATTTTTAAGCCATTATTTTTAAGCCAAGATAGTACCTCTTTGCAAGCCATGATTTCTGCAATCGCTGGGTCTTGGGTGCTTGAATCGACCCGTTAAAAGCAATCATAAAAGAGTCGTCTATCAATAATATGTACTCCGTAACTGCCAAAACCAGCAGTACCTTCTTGAGGAAAGAGTGCGAACCAACAGCGTATACTCCTTGGCGACTGTTGCACTGTATCCGTTGTCCCCGCATGAGTTTGCTCCTCCCTTTGACCTAAATGACGTCAATACTAAGTGTCTGTTTTGGCAACAGTTTCAATGTTTATCTTTAGTAATATTTTATTAGAATACATACTTTCCTTAATCTAAAAATATAAAACTTGAAATTTTGATTGAATTGATTTTAGAAAGACCCAAATTTTATATTAATGACAATCGATCTTTGTTTTTTATTTTGGGATGAATACATAATTATTGAAGCATCAACAAGGGAATGCTGACTTCGTGTGTGACCAAGACGCTTTCATAACCACAGTCTTGGCAATTTTTGCCGCTCATGGGTTAGCCCATTTTGTTGGAGGGTGTGATCGTAATGCTTGGAATGCCATCAAAAATTGGAAGAGTGGTGCAATAGCTATCCTTATTCTTATATGGTATGTTTTTTATTCTTTATTTTCTATAACTCACCCCTCCATTCGTTCTCAAAAAAAATTTCCAGTTCAACCAAGTGTAAGAATAAGGAAATATTAAATTGTAATTGACTTTTAATTTTACCCTTGGGTAAAGTGAGATTTCATGGATACATTATTAGAGAAAAAATACGATGTGATAGGTAGAGTATGAAAAAGTAAGGGTAAAAGTGATTTTTTAATAGAGAGTGAAAGTGTTTTGTTGGAAATGAAAAAAATAAAAGAGAAAGTATTTTTTTAGAACTTAACGAAGCGAGTATTAAATAAGGGTCCATTTGGAGTGAGCGTAATGTTAGAAAACTGGGAGGGGTGATGACAATGTTGCGTAGCAACGTTAGAAGTGGATGATATATAATCAGTGGCGGAACCAGGTTATAGTGCCAAGGGGGCACTAGGGTAGTGTATGGGAGTTCGGGGCAGTGCTCTTGGATTTTTTTAAGACAATTAATGATAACAAGAAATGTATTTCATCCGTCTTTAAAAACCTTTCATCTTTCTTTTTTCATTGTTCCAAAATGTCTTTCTTTTTCTATTAAAAATCCAATTTTGACTTTACTAATTTTTACCATATCTATTGCGTCATATTTATTAAATAATAATTTATCTGATCCGTCAGTTTCTGCTTTTACTCGTCATATTAACGACAATTTGAAAAATTCGACACAAAAATATTTATCCCTTTAAATCAATTAAATTCAAAGTAGGAAAGAGATTTAGGAACGAATCCCTAAGGGAGTAATAACTTTAGAGTGAATTCCAAAAATAGTTCTTTCAATTCTAACATGGTGTTTTCCAGATCAATGGAGTAAGCAATAACCACCCAGTTGTACTTTATAATTGTAATTTATTCCACGAGTAGTCTTCAGTCGAAAAGCATGTTATGTAACTATATATAAAGCTGAGATATTTTGATATTTACTATCGTCTAAACTCATACTCCCTCTGTTCCATGAAACATTTCCTGTTTCAAAAAATGACGCGCCCTTAAAATGAGTAATTTTGGTGCTATTTTCTAATTATAATTAATCTATTCTACATATCTCATCCTACTCTTTTATAAATTAAAGGTAAAATTAGAAAATAATACCAAAATTACTCATTTTAAAGGCGCGCCATTTTTGAAACGGGAAATGTTTCACGGGACGGAGGGAGTAGTAAAATAAATCTAAAAAATGGTCCATTGTATTCTAATTAAGTATTTTTCCGATGAGATAAGACGATGAAAAGATATAAAAAGTAGAAAATGATTGATTAATGTTCTCAAAAATGAGAACCAAAGCATTGAAGTTATGGTATTTGAAAAGTAAAATTTGCACTAAATAGGACTAGAATATGATGACTTTCCTAATGTAGGACTTAAATTTTTTTATTCCCTAAATAAGACTTAATAATGACCTAGTGGGAGGAATAATATCCAGTAATGATGGACATTTACTTGAATAATGACTATTTCATAATGACCAAAGGTCCTACATTGAGAAATAAAAACATATGGTCCTATATTGGGAAAGTCATTATGTTTTAGTCCTATTTAGGTAAATTTCTCATTTGAAAATTTAATTTACTTATAAATAATAAAACAACAAAAAAAACTGATAATGTATAATATGTGTTGGGTGACTTGGGTCTATGGCTCCACTCGAATAGGGTATGTTGACTAATGTAATAGAGTTGATAATGATAATTAATTTTGAACGTCCAAAAAGTAAAAGTATACATCCAGATGTAGGCGTAATGAAGTGTATAATTACATTTAGAAAAGAATCTGATGATTTGAAACTCACAAAATAATTCGGCTTTTATTTTACCTAAAAAAAATACTCGCATTTCTAATTTAAATACTTCTTCCGTCTTTATAAGATTGCCACCGTTTGAGTTATTTGGTTAAACTATGACACCCTTTGATCGCGAATTATGAAAAAAATATTTTTAGTTATAATGTAATTTTAGTAAACTTAGGTTTATTTAATTTTAAGATAAAGTTTTGAAATATCAGTTTTTGTAATATTTAATTATTTTAAACTATATTTAGTTTGTGGTCAAAGAGTATCATAATGTAACCTAAAAAATCAAACCATGTCAGGAGAGAGTATCTATTTTACCCATATTAGTTATAAACTTACTTATCACATCATATTCATACTATCCATCAACAATATATTCATCCCCACACCATATTCTATCAATCACATCCAAAAAAAATAAAATTGTAAAGTCACCTACAAATTATACTTTCATTAAATTTGTTAATATCGAGAATGAATTTTTTTTTTCTTCTTTTGAAAGGGAGAAAACATAATATATCCCACTGGCTCAGTGCATTTGTTTAGTCAAATTAGATAAATTTTGAGTTTCAATTAAATAAAAATCCTAATGTATATTTATATTGAAATAATTTTATCCGATTTATCTTGCTGAAAATATCTAATACAAATTGAGATTAATTGAAGTTTAAAGTTGGTCCAGTTTAACTCGAAAAAATCAAACTCAATGGATATTATATAACGAGCAGGTGTGCATTTGTGGTAGAATTCGCACTGGTAAAGCATTCACATGGAAAGGCGGAGAGTGAGGAACCCAATTCGTCGTGTCTCATAACTCACCCAAAGGAGCTTCTTGGTGGAGGGATTGCATCCTTTTTTCACACTGCCATCACCATTGTTTTATTCTTTATCCTGCTCAAAGCTCGCAAAGAATCTCTCAAAATTCAAACAAGCCATACGCCGGTGTAATACATATATATATACATACACACACACACACCATATGATACTGGTATACGGAGTATTTTAATTATTACCTTAGGGTTTCCATTTTTGTTTGGGTGCATGTTAAAAACAGGTATGATTAATTTGAGTTAGATTTTTGACGAGTGTATTTATTTTTAATTTTTCAATGTTATTCGTGATGGAATAATATTAGACCATCTAAAGTTGAATATGTTATTTTGGAGATCATGATGAAACAAAGCGAAAGAAAGATATGTGACAACATTAGAATCATATACACCAAACTCAAAAGGAAAACAAAAGCACAAGAATTGGGGTGAATTCGATCTAATTAAACGACATTCATTATATTATTAATCGATCAAGAGGACATGCATAATTGTTCCAACATGGTGAGACGACGGACAGTATGTAGCTAGTGGGAATTAAAAGAGGAATTAATTAATTGAACTAAATGGATGGGCGGGCGTGTAATATAAATAAATAAACGCAAATATATAAATTGGCCGGAATAATTAATTAAAAAGTGCGGCACTGGAAGTTGCAGGCGCCGTAGCTGGGGTCGGTGAGGGCGATGACGGCGGAGTTGTTGAAGTCGCAGTTCCACGTGTTGGCGCCGGCGTTCTGGTAGTAGAGGTTCATGGCGAAGGCGGCGTGGTTGATGAGGCTGTTGGGGTAGTAACAGGCGCCGGCGGCTTCGGACTGGACGGCGGAGCAGTTGACCAGATTGCAGGCGTAGCTCATGTTCTCTATCAGCTGCTGGTACGACGCCGACGGCTTCGGTATGCACCACGATTTCTGTTTGGTTGCACCATTTTTTTCAACACAAAATTTGATTTCTTTAAACCAAACCAATTCTAATCGTTTTTATTTTTTAATGTCAATCTCTACCCCTAGTTATTAGTCTAGTTGTCATTTTTTCATCAAAAGTTGGAAATAATTGATCGCAAGAAATTAAATATATTAAAATAAATTTTTAATTTGTACTAATAATATCCAATATAGCTTCTATTTAAATGATTATCAAAATTTATCTAATTTGACTTATACAAATTAAGTTGGACAAATGTTATGTATGTATGAGACAAAAATAATACTCCGTATATTGATTGAAGGGCATCTAAGGTCTTTACTTTGGAGAAATTGAATTAAATTAATTAAATTGTTGCAAAATTAAACAAAAGTTATACTCCTAACCTTATTATATTAAAAAAATATTATAAAACAATGTTTGATACTATTCATCATTCATTTCATTAAATTACTTTCCAAATAAAATACGGAGTAGTATATATTTTAATTTTAATTTTAATTACAAAAATTTGGCGCCAATTTTTAATTAATTAAAATAACTTTCATTATTAATACGTTGAATAACCATTGATTTTGTATAAAATTTTCTATTTTCTAAATATTAAATCAATATGTGTTTCTACAAAGCTATTTTATTATTTTAAAAACATGGTTATATAAATTTTACTTAAAAATTTTATACGGAATTTATTCTTTAAAATTATTTACCATTTCTCTTTTATTTATTTTCAAGAGAAAAAATATATATAAATGTCAATAAATGTGAATTATTATTAAAACTACAATTTTTATTTTCCAAAGATATCATATTTAATAATTAAAATGTACTCCATATTTAGTAGAATAAAATATAATTATTATTAAACTATTATTATATTATTATTATATAGCTTGCCATGCATTAATATTACTATTATTAATATAAATTATACAGCTTCTTGATTAAATAAATTATACAGATTAATTACTCACAACTTGTTTAGGGGTAGGCACTGGCACTTCTTCTTCCCTTCCAGAGTCTCCGCACTTCACCTCTCCTATAATTGTTCGTCCATTTCCCAATCCTGCTGGCACTGCATTATTATATGTTGAGGGTAATTAATTAGTACAAATAAATTCACTTAATTATAGCAACACAGAAATATAATTTTTTTTTAAAAATAAATAATTATATGTTTAATAATACTCCATCCGTCCATACATAAAGCTCCCATTACGTGTTCCGCTATTTCACTGAAGTTATTTTTATTCATTTGATATAAAAAATGGTATGAAATTAAAAAAATTACGAATTTAAAAACTATATGAAAAATTTGACAAAACTAAAAGTGACTTGACTATATTATTATACGGAGTATCAAATAAAACACAAAAAAATGTCAACAAAATGAATAAAATTTAACCATATGAATAGTAAATGTGAACTTTATTGTTGAACCTGAAGTTGAGAATGGAACAAGCAAAGCCAAGCATAAAATTGGGATTGAAAAGAATGAGTGAGCCATGGATATGATGTAATTAAAGATTATACTTAGGACGATATGATATGGATTAATAATAATAATAATTACTCAAAGGTAATTTTTTGCTAATCTTTTTTAATTTCTTGTACTGGGTTAGATTGGGGAATTAGGCACTGGTTTATATAGTGTTACGTAGCAGCATGCAGGAGTTATGGAAGACGAGGAGGTGGTGCATGATGCATGTTAATTAGTGGATATAAATGAGAGTAATTAATTAATTGATTAATCACTATTGCTTTATAATTGAGAACTAGCATCACTCCCGTGCGTTGCACGGGTCATACTTATATTACTAAATTAAGATCATTTTTGAAGGATACAATTTCTTATCTAACACTCCCTCCGTCCTTGAAACATCTTTCCCTTTCATTTTTTCTTTGTCCCACAAACTCCTTCTTTTTTCTATTAAAAAACTACTTTTACCCCTTACTTTTTCATACCCTACTTATCACATCATACTTTTTTACTAATAATCTATCTATCACATCTTACTTTTATCAATCACATCAAGAATATTTTTGGAAAGTCAACACCAAAATATCTCTCCCTTAATTTTCCAAAAAGTCAATGAGGAAACTTCTTTCGGGACGGAGGGAGTAGAATATAAAGATTTTATTATTTTAAAGTACAAAAGTTAATTGTTTTACAAATAACGAAAGACTTCTTTATAAACTACATTACTCGTATAATTTTTATATATCAAGCTTTTAAAACATTTATTTATTTAAAGACTTCTTCATGATTTTCTACTCCGAAAGCATGAATCTTATTTAAGAACTCAAGAGAGTGTAAGTCATTCAAAAAATTTGAAAGAGGCTAATTACGAAAAGTGATTGAGAATGACTGTATTTAAAATATGAAAAAATTAAAGTATTTTTTCTATTTCCATGCATCTAATTTTTTTCGGGTAAGTTATTAAATAGTGGTTGATTGTTCAACATATAAAGGTATATATTATTCAATACGTTTCCATGTATTAAAAGCACACCTCTTAAAACGATGTCTCCATAAAACGTTTGGGTCTGGATCTCTAAATGGAAACATTATTAAATTGAAAGTTTATTTGATTAGAATTATTACTCGATAATAATAACTAAGTACGATAATATTATTACATGGTATATTATTATTATTATTATTCTTTCACGACAATAAATTAATAATGATTAAATACATTAATATTATTGCACGGTATATTAGTATTATTATTTTTTCTACACGGTAATACATGATTTATTCTTGCTACAAAGTAATTTATGATTTAATTATTATTTCTATATTCAACACTTAACATATTTGCCACCATTTCTATGTATTACTTTGACATTTTTTTATATTTAATTTCTTTTATTATTTTTTATTTTGATTTTTTAATTATGCCTTCCTTAAATGCATAAACTTATATATTTAAATTTCTTCATAAAATATTTGGCACCAAATTTCTAAATGGAAACATAATTAAATTGAAAGCTTATTTTCTTAACATAATCACACCGTAATAAATTAATAATGATTAAATATGGTAATATTAAGTTTGGCCATGTTCTCTAAATGGAAACATTTTTAAATTGAAAGCTTCTTAGATTAGAAATATTAGACGATAATAATGACTAATTACGGTAATTTTATTACACGGTATATTATTATCATTCTTCTTAAATGTTAATAAATTAATAACGATTAAATACGGCAATATTATTACACGATATATTAATATTATTATTCTTGTTACATGGTAATACATGATCTATTCTTATTACACGGTGATTTATGATTTAATTATCATTTATTTATTCAACACTTACTATATGTACCACCATTTCTATGTATTACTTTGACATTTCTTTTAGATTTGATTTCTTTCCGAAAAGGAAACAAATGGTTTGTATGATTAAAATGGTTTGTTTCTAAATTGGAAAAGGAAACAAATGGTTTGTAACTTTGTATGATTAAAATGGTTTGTTTCTTAATTGGAAATTATATAATTTACGAAACTGTAAATTTAATGCATTGATTAAAAAATTTACACCTTAATGTGATTATTACCTTTTATGGACAAATATTATTTTTAGTTGAATGATAATCATTTTTTTATTATATCAATTCCAAGTTTATAAATAAGTTCGGTATTAGAAAAGAAGTTTATATAAATAATATTTTTTATATTTTGTTTCTTTTTTACAAATATATTAGGCATGCGAAATTTTCTTTAATTTATCATTCTAAATAAGAATAGAGTAGTTAAGTAATTATGCATGCGAAATTATTCTAAAAAGGAAACAACATAGATCTTGTTTGCGAAATTAATCCCTTCCTTTTTTATCAGAATTAAGTAATTATGCTTGCGAAATTTCCTTTAATTTACCATTCTATTATTCTTAAAAGTATTTCCTTTTAAGAATAGAGTGATTAAGTAAATAATTACCTATTTAATTAGGCATAAATAATTACTTTTTGATAAAATAATCAGGCGTAAATTATTCCAAGTAATTATAATAATAATAGTAATAATTAGGCGTAAATTAATAATTACCTATTTAAAAAGGAAACAAAATATAAAAAATCTCCTGCACCGTCCCTTCCTTTTTTATCACAATCAAGTAGTTAGGCGAAATTGGTTAGGAAACAAATTACTCCCTTCCTTTTTTTATCAGAATAGAGTGATTATGCATGCAAAATTTCCTTTAATTTATCATTCTAAATAGGTAATATTACACAACCAATCATAGCCGTAGATCTTGTTTGTTCCTTGATATCGACGGTGCAGGAGATGAGTGCATTAGGCGGGAAAATAATTCCCCTGCTTTTAAGAATAGAGTGATTGATTTTGCAATTACTATATCATTCTTCATATTTTGTAACCTATACACGAGTTTATGATTAATTAATCGGTAATATATAAACAATTACACTATATTTGTTTGGTTCAAGGAAAAATGCATATGTCCCCACCCCCTCCTTATCCACATAAATTTACAAGAAATTCAAAAAAAATATAAAAACCAAATAAAAATGGGTGGTGGAGAAGGTGGTGATGTACATTTAGGGTACACCTTTGGTGTACCCCTAGCATTGCTCAATTTAGAAATAAAAGAAAACAAGTACTTCTCCGTCTCAATTTAAATCGTCTGTTTCGATTTATGATGTTTGGCTGAAGTTATTTTCAAATCATTTTATATAAAAAACGGTGTAGAACTAAAAAATAAAATTACATATTTGAAAAATATATGAAAAGATCTACAAAACTAGGAGTGACATGATTGTATTATTTTATCAAACGACTAACGAAAATAGGGAAACAAAATGAATGAAATTTGACTCTGTAAATAGTAAACGAGAAATTTATTTTGAGATGGATGGAGTAATTTTCTTGTATTTTTTTCGCCAAAATAAGAAAAAATTGGGTTTTCCTCGCCATAATACTTTCTGACTTCTGGTTTTCTCTTATTTCTGTTTTTTTCTATCTCTGACCAAGCAACAAAAATTATTTTTCATCTTTTTTTCTTTTAGCATTCAAATTCTTTTAACCAAGCATAGTGTTAAAGTATGAGATTATTCCCTAAAAAAAGAATGAAAGATTATATTCTACTCCGTAACTAATTTTAAGGGAAAATGATTTGGTTAATAAACACCGTTATCTCATTTGTTTTCAAATCTTATTAATAGAATTTTCATGATTTTAGAATGTAGTGCACGTACTTAGCTTTTTCATTTATTTTTCTTTCATTTTTCAAAAAAAAAATATTAATGTCTATTTTTCAAACCATATGAACACAGGAGCCCATTTCTCGTTCATTTTTCTCTTTTTTCTTCCTTTTTTGGTTTCTGTTTTTCTTCTCTTTGCTTCTTTTTTTCATAAATATTTTCTAAATCTCTTTTTAAAATTGTTTTTATAATACTTTAAAAAATCAAAATTGATTGTATTTATAATAAAAAAAGAATGAATAAGGATTAGTATTTGTTTGAATACTATTTTACTAAACATTCTACTTTTTGTTTCCAAAATGAAAAATAAATTATTTTTGTGAAAAAGAAAACAAAAAAAGGAAAAAATCAAACAAATTAAAAAATAGACAATGAGCTGTAGTACCCATGTGGTTTGAAGAATGGACAAGAATGCCCCTCATCGATCGAACTTAAGTTATATTTCCAAAGCCTAAAAATGGAAACACCTGAAATTTACCGGCGGAAGGTGCATACGTGGAACACTTTGAAACGGATGAATTCCCTGTTTGTGTAAAAGGAGTGTAATGCATTCCTTTATATGCTCTTTTATTTTGTCATTTCCCAAATAAAATCACCTGGAGTAGGTTAATCCATTTTATTGGGTTATTATTTATTCAAACGATCTGATTTAATTGCCAAACGGATTTGGCTAATCCGTTCAAGTGTTTATTTTTTTGTTAGTTTTCTTGTTTTGCTTCTCGGTTCCACAATTCCATTTTTTTTGTTTGGCTAATTCATTCCACTACTTCATTTCACTTTTGTGTTCCAATTTTTTTATTAGCTTAAAATTTTTTTGTTCAAGTAATTTTTGTCACTTATAAATAAATTATAAAACTTAAGAATAAATAATTTTATGTATCATTGAAATATTTTTGTTCATATTTTTTTAAAATAATTTTCTTTATCATTAAATAAAATTAACTATAATAGAATTTAAAAATAAAACTACTGTTTATTGACTTTAAGTAAACTTTATACTCCCTCCGTGCACAATTTGATTACAAATTGCGGGTTACGGAGTAAAATTTTCTACTTTTTGAAATCATTTTATTTACAAATTGGAATATCAATAAGATATAAAAATTAGATATTAAAAAACTACGTTAAAAGTTCTACAAAACAAGAGGTGACAAGAATATTTTATTTTATCAAATACTTAATGAAATCGCGTAAACAAACAAAAGTTATCGAGAGGAGAGAGAAAAAAAAATTAGTACTCCGTATAATCTATTTAGGGACGGAGGGAGTACAACATAGGTAAAAGAAGAAGAAAAAAAGCAATAAATTTATTGTTAGAGTACGTATAATTTATTCTTAAAACGAAGATTAATAAACACAATCCATGACAAATTTATTTTGTGAAATTAATAATACGGAGTACTAAAGATAATGGCTACCGGTAAATTGTTTACTTACATTATCGAAATAAACAAATAAAGTTTACACTACCGATGGCAACGACGTTCGTGCAATGCCACATTTACAAGACATCTAGAGACGCGCAACATATAGATTTTTGCAACCGACGTTCCACGTACCTATTATTGAGTTTGGTAATACCTATCCTTCTTTTCAAAGTTTACAAAGTTCACCTATGTCATTACTGTAGTGTGACCGTGTATCATTTGTTTCCGAATGTTTTTTCAATTCAGTCGTACATCAATGCTTATTCTGGCATCATAATGCCACTTTCAGATGAGTCTGAATGGCCTACTCTAGAGTACGAGATAGCGAGACTAACGCCGCGACAGAGCACACGAACCGGCCGACCTACGAGAACCCGCTATCTGAATAACATGGACTATTTACCACGGAGACGTCGCAACGATGAATAACTATGTCATGAATTTAAGTTATGTTTGAGTTTATGTATTATTAAATTTACAAAATAAGTTTGTCATAGATTGTGTTTTGTAATCTTCTTTTTAGGAATAAATTATATGTACTATATCAATAGATTTCTTATATTTTTTCTTATTTTAATTTCGTTGAATAAAGTTTACTTAAAATCAATAAATAGTAGTTTTATTATTAAATTTTATTATAGTATATTTTATTTAATGATAAAGAAAATTATCAAAAAAAAATTATGAACAAAAATATTTTAATGATAAAGAAAAATATTTTATTTTTAAATTTTATAATTTATTTATAAGTAATAAAAATTATTTGAACAAAAAAGGGAAGGTGATTTAAAATGATAAAGAAATAAAAAAAAGGTAAACGGATTAGCCAACTTTGTTGGCAAAAAAAATTGGTTAACGCATTAGCCAATCTAGTTGGAAAACTATCGAAAATAAAAATAAAAAATAGTGAGACGGATTTGCCAACTCCGTTTGGCAATTAAATGAAGCAAACGGATTAGGCCACTCCGTTTTATTTAAAACTTTCGAGTAGAAACGGAGTAGCTAAATCCGTCTTGCACTGTAAGAAAAAAAATGTCTGACAGGAAAGGAAATTTTTTTTTTACATATGTTGGGAGTTTGCTCCTTTGAAACCATGGAAATTTTACAAGTTTAAAAAAGAATAAAATTCTATAATTGGTCTTTTAAAATTGAGATTTTTTCATATTTAGTCTTCTATTACTCCCTACGTCCAAGTTGAAACTTCTCGTTTTGACTTGGCACGGGTTTTAATGTAAAGTGGAAAAGGATATGAGTTCCCTATTTTGCCCTTCATGACGTCACTTTTTAGAAAGCAAATCAATAGAAAAAAGTGCATAGTGCTCAATAATGACAAAGTATAAAAGTTTAGATTTTTTTCCCAATTCAATCATTACATACACATATTCATGTACATACACCCCATACTCATGATTCACATCTACAAAAGTGAATAAATATTTCCCTCCAAAACACCCAAAACACATTAAAAAAATTAAAATATGGAGGGAAAATGTGCTACACATATTTTCTATTAATAATCCTTCCAAAAATAGCAACACATGCCCAGTCTTCTTATTCTTCCTTTCCTTTTCTTCTTCCAATTCTTCTTTTCTTTCCTTTTTTCTTATTCTCTCTTTTTTCCCTTAAAAAACTGCAACCTTTCTTCTACCACATGTCCCTGCAAACAGAAAATGGTGGTGAAGAAACCCAGGCAAAAGAAAAAAGAAAACACAGATTGAGCAATAATGAAAGACAAAATATCATTCATGCAATCCTATTGGTAGCAAAGCCTAATGCACTGGGCAAGATTACTGCTCAGAGGGGTGTTATAAGTAAAATTGCAGCTGATTTTAACATTTCAAGGAGGACAGTAAGCTTTTTGTGGAGACAAGCAAGAACTCAATTGGAGGAAAGGCGTGCCATTGATGTCAAGAGCAAGATGGCAGGTAATCCTAGTAGGAAAAGAATTGATGTAGACCTTAATGCAATATGTGACATTCCATTAAGGCAAAGAACATACATCAGATCTCTTGCCATAGCATTAGGTGTACCTAAGTCAACAGTACACCATTGGATTCAAAGAGGTTTGTTCAGAAGTCACACCAATGCAATTAAACCCTTGTTAACTGATGCAAACAAGCATGCAAGGCTTCTTTTCTATTACAAACAGCTAGAACCCTCAAGTATCCCCTCTAACCCTAGATTTAAGACCTTTTATAATGTTGTTCATATTGATGAAAAATGGTTTTTCACGTCGAAGACAACTCAAAGGGTTTATTTGGGATTAGACGAAGATGATCCTTATTACGTTCATTATTCTTTGTTTATAGATACCTTTTTACAAATAATCTTTCGTTTCATCTTCCATCGTATTTGTGTTGAATTAAGAACTAAAATTTCAATTTCACACATAGCACGTTTGGTGAACATTATCACATAAAACATATATTTAATTTTGTTTTTATTACAAAAAATACTACTTATGTAGGGAATAAGTATTTGTTTACCACCTTACTGTGTATGTCTACATAAAATTATGTAGACCTTAGGTCTACAATAACATTTACCAATTTAACTAGCATTGAATTGTTTAGGTAAAGGTGATTGTAGGCGGAAGTGTTACGATTCGTTGATCATAGTTCAACTCATTTGAAATGAATCAGGTTAAACAAGTTAAATTCTTGTTGTTCGTCAAGGACCAAACGTACTGTTCTCTCGTTCTCTAGCTCATTACATATTTCATTTCAAATGAGTTGTAAAATAAATAAGTTGAACGTAATTAGACGAATCATGAAACTAAGCTACGGAGAGAGTGACTTCGGTCTTGTTCTACATGCCAAGGTATAGTTTCTAATCCCAACTATGGTGCACGTAAGCTTAGAAAAAGCTAGACAAAGCCGGTGCTTATTTAACCTTCATGCGCTCTGAAAGTGCTCTTTTGCCCATGGTTATACTCCTCCTGTGTTTTGAGAGGGTCATCTGCCGGTAGCTTTTGCATTTTCAGAATTAATCTACAATATTAAGATTTTATCCAAAAGGTTAACACTAATCGAAAACAATGTTCCCAAACAAGGAAAAAATGAAAATAAAAAAATTTAACAAAATGATAAAGGGCGTTGCTAAATTCACTCCCCTTTGGACTAAATCCACTCCTTTTATGATAAATAGACAATTTTGCCCTCAAATGTTGACTTGCATCTAACTTTTCTCTTGTGTTTTTTAAGAGTAAAATTGTCAATTTAACATAAATGAAGTGGATTTAGCAACATACATTGATAAAATGAAAATTTAAAAAAAAAAAATCTTCTAATAATACTCCGTAATAATTACTGAGTAATTGTTTATTCCGCATATGAGAAGGCCCGGAATTTGTGTATGGAATTTAAGAATATTTCTATCATTAACCTTCTCACTTAAACATATTAATAAATAAAAAATGAATAAATACACCGTGTATATATATATATATATATATATATATATATATATATATATATATATAATACGGAGTAATTTATTTTTTATGTAAGAAGGTTCATATTTCTTGTATATAGACTTTAGTTCCATGAAAAATTCACCCAATGTTTAGGCTATAAGAACTTACCTTGCGGCCATCCAACTTGCACCAGAACTTTGGATTTTTCCTATTATTGTTTGCACTGTGCTAAAACCGCGTTTGGGGCATTATTAAACCCAACCCATCCTTCATTTGAATCATTATTTCCCACTTCATTTAGTATTGTCCTTAAGTGCTTGTGTCTCTCTCCGCCACCAAAATCCAAATGAAGTCAACTTCCTAACAATGTCTAGTTCATATTAGCAAAGACTGCATTGCCCCCCTTAGGTAAGCCACTTGCAGAGAGGGGCCTTTATACTCTTTTCCCCACACTAACTCAAAAAAAAAAAAAACCAACTTTTTTATATCAAGAATTTGAGCTACTCCTCAAGGTTGACCAGGCCCAGTCTCTCCAAGAGAAGGAACATATATAAACTGACATAAGATTCAAGAAAATGCTCATTTAATTTTCTATGAGAGAGAGGAGGGAAAAAATGTTACTTGTACTAGCCATAGTATCTTGTTCCTTGCTTGCAACAATGGTGATTTCAGCAGAAGCAAGCAGCCTGGGAGTTGAAGTGGAGGCCATGAAAGCTTTCAAGAACTCGATTCTTGAGGACCCTTTGGGCATTCTTGAAGCAGGGCACCACTGCAACTGGACTGGAGTCGTCTGCGATCCTTCCTCGAGGCATGTCACCAACATTTCCCTAGTTGACGCGAGGCTTGTGGGACGAATCTCTCCCTTCACTGGAAACCTTTCCATGCTCCAGGTTCTTGATCTAACCCTGAATTCCTTCACGGGAGAAATCCCGTCTCGGTTGGGGCTTTGTTCGGACCTCTCTCAGCTCATTCTGTACCAAAACCATCTCTCTGGAGAGATTCCTTCTGAGCTAGGGAGCCTTGGGAACCTGCAGATTCTTGATTTCGGGAACAATTTTCTGGAAGGAGCCATACCCTATAGCTTATTCAATTGCACCTCCATGTTACAGATGAGCCTGGCATTCAATAACTTGACAGGAGAAATTCCCAAAAACATTGGTGATTTAGTTGATCTCCAGCTCTTTGTGGCCTATGGGAACAGTTTGGTTGGACCCATACCTGAATCCATTGGCAGGTTGGTAAATTTGCAGGCTTTTGATCTTAGCCAGAACCGATTGTCCGGTCCGATACCACCACATATAGGTAACATGTCCAGCTTACAAATTCTTCAATTGCATTTCAACTCCCTTTCTGGGAAAATCCCATCTGAGATTGGTTTCTGTGGGAATCTCTCCACGTTGAACTTGAACAGCAATCAGTTCACGGGCAGAATTCCTCCGGAGATTGGAAACTTGGAGAATTTGGAGATTTTAAGGTTGTACAGCAATCGACTGACCTCCACGATTCCTGGAACGTTGTTTCAGTTGAAACTATTGACTCGTTTGGGGCTATCCCAGAATGAGTTGTCTGGTGCCATTCCTTCTGCTTTGGGGTCCTTACCATCACTCCAAGTTCTTACCCTCCACTCCAATAGGTTCACTGGCCATATTCCCTCATCCATAACAAACTTGACAACCTTAACATATCTCTCCCTCGGGTTCAATTCGTTTTCAGGACCAATCCCATCAAACATAGGACTGCTGAACAATTTGCTCAACCTCACCATGAATGATAACCTCTTGGAAGGACCAATCCCTCCAAGTATCATCAACTGTACGAGTCTACTCGTCATGGTTCTCACCAATAACCGAATCTCGGGGAACATTCCAGAAGGGTTGGGGCAAATACGTAATCTCACCTACCTGTCATTGGGGGGGAATGAGCTGTCCGGGGAAGTGCCAGACGACCTCTTCAACTGCTCCATGCTTCAGGTGTTGGACTTGAGTCAGAATAACTTCAATGGGAAGATGAAACCAATCATTGGTGGACTATCCCACCTGCGAATCCTAAGGGCACGCGATAACTCATTCGTAGGGGATATCCCCAGAGAGATTGGAAACTTAACCAATTTGATGGATTTAGTGTTGCATGGGAATAGGTTTTCAGGCCTCATCCCTACTGAGCTCTCAGAGCTTGCAAACCTTCAAGGGCTCACATTGTTCAACAATGAGTTGGAAGGGTTTATCCCTAAGAAGCTCTTTGATCTCAAACAACTCACAGATCTTCATCTGCAGAACAACAGATTGATCGGTCCGATTCCAGAGTCTATTTGGAAGGCTGAGTCGATGTCTCAGCTCGATCTCAGTGGGAACATGTTGAACGGGACAATCCCGGAAAAGATGTCAACTCTTAGCAGGTTAGTGGTGTTGGATTTGTCACACAACAATCTCACCGGACATCTTCGCCCATCATTACTTTCCACCATGAAAAGTCTGCAACTTTACCTGAACCTCTCTCACAATTTCATGGAAGGGGTGATTCTGGATGAGATTGGGAGGCTGGAAATGGTGCAAGGAATAGACTTGTCGAACAACCATTTCTCAGGACACATTCCCAGATCACTGAAGAACTGCAGAAACCTAAGATCTCTTGACATTTCAAGAAACAACCTATCCGGCCAGATGCCACCAGACGTTTTCACTCAGTTTAGCGAGATCGTGAGCCTAAACCTTTCGCATAACCATCTAAACAGCCAAATTCCCCAGAGTCTGGCAAGAATTCCGCATCTTTGTTCTCTAGACCTTTCTCACAACCATCTCAATGGCACCATTCCTGAAACCCTTGCCAATATCCACACCTTAAAGAACCTCAACCTCTCATTCAACCAGCTCGAAGGTCAAATCCCAGAAAAGGGTCTGTTTGCAAAAATTAGCCCCTCAGACCTGGATGGAAATCCCTCTCTCTGTGGAAAACAGCTACTCAAGCATTGCAATCGTCCAAACCATAGAAAATTTTCAAGAAAATTCATAACCATCATCGCAGTCGCTTCCGTTTCAGCTCTCATGCTCCTGTCACTGGTGATCTATCTACTCCATCAGCTAATCAAGAAACAAAAACAGAAAGACGGCGAGAGCACGAACCCAGAATTCACCCCGACATTGAGAATCAAGAGATTTACCAGAGAGGATTTAGAAAGAGCTACCAATTCCTTCAGCCCGGAAAACATCATAGGAACCAGCAGCTTGAGCACAGTGTACAAAGGCGCGCTTGAGAATGGACAGATTGTGGCAATCAAGAAACTGAACGTGAAACATTCGCCTTTGGAATCGGAGAAATGCTTCGACAGGGAAGTCAATGTCCTGACCCGGCTGAGACACAGGAATCTGGTTAGGGTTTTCGGGTACGCATGGGAGAGCAAGGGGACGAAAGCGCTGGTTTTGGAGTACATGGAGAAGGGGAATCTGGAGAGGATCATACACAGTCCGGACCCAGAAGCTCCTCCGGCGACATTGTCGGAGAGATTTGAGGTTTTGGCGTCGGTCGCGAGCGGGTTGGCGTACCTGCATTCCGGCTACGATTTCCCCATTGTTCACTCGGATCTGAAGCCTTCAAACATTCTCCTCGACGGCGACTTCCATGTCCGGATAAGCGATTTCGGGACGGCTCGAATGCTGGGTATCCAAGAAACCGGCGCTTCATCAGCTTCTTTTCAAGGAACGATTGGATACATGGCACCAGGTATTTTGAAATCTTTGAACTCAAATTGAGGCGAAAATCTTGGGTAACTACATATGAAAGCATTTGAAATCTTGGGTATATATATAATCATATGCATTTGCAGAGTTTGCATATATGAGGAAAGTGACAACAAAAGTGGATATATTCAGCTTCGGAATAATCGCAATGGAGCTGATGACAAAGAAAAGGCCAACTGCAGGAGAAGATCATCATCGTCTTCATCTTCATCTGCCAATCACACTGCCAGAACTCGTGCAGAAAGGGCTTGAAGATGATAATGGCAGCAAGAAGGGGTTATTTGAGATCCTTGATCCATTTTTGGCTGCAAATGCTTCCAAGAGCGTTGATGCCATTGAAGGAATTCTGGGTTTGGCTCTGTCTTGCGCTTGTACGGATCCAGAAGCTCGCCCCGGCATGGAACAAGTTTTGACAACCCTCTCAAGGCTAAGGAAGATGACTTGATTTTTTAAGGTCCGGGAATTTTTTTTAAAACATGTATTAAACCATCATTATTATTGATAAATGTAAGTCAAAGATATTCAAGTGACAAATGTCTTGATTTCATATTTTTGAAGAAGAAAACATTAAAGGTACGGTCACAAATACATTTTGCATTTAAAAAAAGCTATGGTCTAGTATATTTGTCAAATTTGATTTTTTGAGATTAAAATTGTTTAAACTTTAAACATTGATCGTCAATTAAATAAATAATTTAGTATTTTAGTGTATATTAGTAAAGTTGATTATTTGAAATTGATACAGACAGAGAAAAATGATATAAATCACATAAAATTTAGCTATTATTGAAAGTGAAATTTTATTTTAGAACAAAAAGAATAATTCATCATTATTAATTACTCTTATTGCTTAGAATAATTGATCCCACATTGTTTTGTAGTCTAGTTGGCGGACTTCAATACCTCACCACTACTCGTCCTAACTCCTAATATTCAATTTGTCGTGTGATGGTGTTTAACATCACCGACTATTCTTCTAACACGAATCTTAGAATAATTGCGCAGAGAATATTTAATTAGAGAAAATAGTATTGAACTCAAGAATTCGAAAAAAGAGCTCTTCTTTATTCAATTTGAAATCCTTAGGGAATAATTATAACATGTAAGCTTCCTAATCTAATTAGGTTTTAATTAGGAAATACAAGGAAATCTCTCTAATTCTCCGAAGTAACCAATTTCAATTCTATTTAGCCCGGCCCATTAAACTTATCATTTTAGTCTGGTTGGTTTCGTTCATTGTTCGCTTCCAAATTGTAGGATTTCAGACGCTACCAATTCTTTTAAAACCAATTAATATTAGAATAAAGGGATACCCTAACCTTATAGTGCATTCAACACGCACAAGCACCCACAATATTGGAATGTGACTTAACTCACATAGCCTTCACCACGGGACAATTGATGCACAGATGACCAATACAAATTACTTCTCAGGGCTAGGCCATGATGTTGAGTTGAGTGAATACGTACAAATAAATAAAAATTCTAATAATTTTTAAATACTCCCTCCATCCTAAATTTTTTTCCAGTCACTATTCACACACTCAAAGTGTAATCATGTTTTTTTACCTATTTTCGTTAGATATTTGATACAATAATAGTTATATAACTACTTGTTTTGAA